ACGGTCATTGTCTCAAACAACAGAAACAGTACAGCGAGGCTAGGGTCAGGCAATCGTCGCACTCACGAGCAAATATTTGGAGTATTCACCGACACTCCTCCTCCTCGTTGGTCTCCTGACTACATCACACATCAGACTTCACGATGTCGGCAACAACCACCATGACACTGACTGAGCACTCTGGGACGGCATGTCCAAATTGTGGAGTTGGTCTGCCAATACATTCAGAGATCGCAGCGGAAGCACAGCGACAAATCGAAGACTTACAAGCACAAGTTCGACTTTTGACACAGAAGGCTACAGCGGCGGGTTGGGCTATCTCTCTTGTATGTATTGGAATTTGGGACTGACCAGACGTAGTGGACAAGTGGGCAGACTACGAAGACGAAATTGAAGAACTCAAGGCGCAAGTACAAGCCCGCAACTCAAACGAAGCAGAACGAACAGACAGTCCCAGCAGATCCTCCTACCTCCCCGTCGGCAACCGCCTCTCCTCCTTCCTCAACTCTCGCAAATCAACACCGAATCTCAAATCTCCTCCACCTCCTCCACCCACGCCGTCAGAAACAGAACTCGCAGCTGCATTAACGAGGGAACAGGCGTTAAGGACTGCCGCGGAGAGTAAACTGGACAATGCGAGTAATGAGCTGGAAGAGTTGAGTGCGCAGTTGTTTCAGCAGGCTAATGAGATGGTGGCTACGGAGAGGAAGGCGAGGGCGAAATTGGAGGCTAGGGTGGAGGTGCTGGAGCAGAGGGACGGGGAGAAGAGGAAGAGGTTGGAGAGGCTTGAGGGAGCGGTTGCAAGGATTGAGAGGGTTAGAGGATTGCTCACTCCAGGACGATAAATGTGGAAGCGAGAGAAAAAGAGAGGGTCGTTGCGGAAGATTGGTCATGAAAGGGTTGAAGATATATGTGAGGATGCGGACTAGACGGAAACGACGGAGGAAATGCTCAAATACTTTGGAAGAAGCCAGAGAACTTCGACTGCCGACGGAGAGATTGGTCGTATCCTTTCATCAACCAACGGCGTTTCGACACAATTCACTAATCTCGACCTCCCAGGAGTTTCCAAACATCATACCAAATATCCCATCAGAAGAGGAGCTCGAAACCTGGTTCCTCGACCTCTGGGAAGACTTTCTGATCGAGCCAACACCATACTTGGTTTGTGGCTTGCTGCTATACCTTGGTGGTATACTTCTATTATCGAACTATCACGCAGCTATTTGGCGACTTTCATGCTTCCTTTTTCGATTCTTACCTTGGGATTACGAGGACGGTTGGGATTACTTATCATTTTAATGAGTACGTATAATCGAGCAAGGGTTTGCGTTAAGATGGCATTGTAAGAGTATGGAGTATTTGGAAAGGCATGTGTACGGAGTTAGCATGGGTGTTTAGAGATGATACCCTGGTTTTGTATGGTTTTGCAAGTGTATAACAGAGCTTCAGATAGCGAGTAGCAGAGTATGGTCTTTCCAAGAGCTTTTCGTCCCAGTGTCTAGGAATCCATGAGCTAGTTCCAGTCCCATAATGTCGGATGATGTCTTATTAACCTGGATATATACCAGAGACCTCATGCCTGTAATGAACCCAAAGTGAATTCACCTAATTCAGCGTCCGAAATGTGCCAAGACTCTTCAACGCGCAACAACTCCATGCTGTCACACTGAATTTCAGTTATACGATCAATGTCCAGAATGCCCTTAAATTTGTCGATTTGCAACAAAACTATTCATCGTCCGAAAGACAGCCAGATATTCCAAAATCGAAATTGTCTGAATCGGTCTTCTTGTTCAAATCCGCTTCAATTTTCAAATTTTTCTAAGTAGGTATCCTCCAGCAGAGCCATCCAACATCAGATCCAAATTAAAGCCCAGCTTCCACCTTTTGACTCGACCCTACTTCCCAATCGTCAAAAACAACCTATCACCCACATCCCCAAGACCAGGTTTGATCATCCCCCTCTCATTAACATCCTCATCTACACCCGCAACCCAAATCTCCACCCCCTCCTCCCACTCCTTCGCCGCCCTCAACACACCCGGCACTGCGCCCAACACCGCTATAACAATAACCCGTTTAACACCCCATTCCTTCAATGTCTGAATAGCAGCAGCACATGTTCCTCCCGTTGCAATAACTGGGTCTAAAAGGATGGCAAGTTCGGAAGCACCGGTATTATGGCTATTTGATGGTGTGGAGGGAGCGGGGATATGGTAGGGTAGGTTGTTGTAGTATTCAACAGGTTCGAGGGTTACGGGCTCGCGGAATAGGCCGAGGTGGTGGACTGGTACGGCGTCTGGAAGCAGAGTTTGTATGGCATCGAGCATGCCGAGACCTGATCGCAGGATTGGGATGAGAGAGATGGTTTTGGGTGAGATGGTTGTGGTTGTGTATTCATATCCTAAGGGGGTTTTGGCCTATGTTCTTGTTAGGGATGAGGGGTAGATGGCGGGGGAGGGGTAAGTACAGTTGGGCCTTTGGTTGTGGAGAGGCCGGCGGCGGTGGCTTCACAGCCTAGGATGAAGGAGATTTCATGGACGAGAGCTTTTGTTTCTCTCGCATTTGCGGTGCTGGAGCGGAGTTGTGAGAGTTTGGCTTGGAGGCATGGGTGTGTCGAGACGTGGACGTTTGGTGGGAGGGTGGGAGACATTGTGGAGGATGGAATTAGGGAAGCAAGAGATCTAGGTATTCAGGAAACAAAAGTGTGTACTTGAGAATTTCGTAGAAACAGTTTCTCTTAATGAATGGTGAGCTCTGAGCTGCCAACAACAGGAGTGGAATGCAAGCTCATGCAGGTGCATCACTGGGATTGATCCGTGATCGGAAGCGCCCGATAAGGGTTATCGAGGAACAATCGTTGATTGGTTAAGCAGTAAGGCTCCGAGTGTGGAGAATTGACGTCAACGCGTTATGGATCTTCATTTTTTTTTGAAAGAGGAAGCTGTTTTCACTATGTCTTCTAACTTCACTCTGGCCAAGACGATAACCAGGCGTTGTGCCTTGAGGCGTTTCAATTCGTGATGGCTGCTTCGAATGCAGACACGGCTATGGAGAGTACAGCAAGACGTCAAAGCATTGTTTCTCATCATTCCGAGTCGAGAAGGGGTAGGTCTGCCAGAAGACCATCACGCGATGCCGGGTACGATGCGTCAGACAACTATGCCAATCTCAACGAAATAGCTGCCAGTTCACCGGTCCAAAACGATGACGACCATCACATATACCGGGTACGAACATTGGAGGAAGGGAGGAGTCACCATTCTAAAGAGATATCGAGAGAAGCGCGGAGGCAGAGTCTCGCGAGGACGATATCACATTCTTTACGAAGACCACGAAATGTAAGACGGATATCTCAAGGGGGCACGAGTTATGATTTCCCGGACAATTATGTACATTTGGATGAATTGGCTACACTTTCACCGGTCGAGAATCCCGACGAGGAACCTGTTTATCTACATAAGTCGCTAGAAGAAGCAAAAGATCAGGAGGGGCAGTATCAACGAGATCAAATCAAGCAGCGAGGAGAGGAGTCAGCAGCTGGTCAAAAGCCGACGGAGGAGAAGAAGGGTGAAGAGCAAGGTGTACACCATGTCTCGAGATTTGCAACACAATTATACACGATTTCCTACCTGATCCTATTCTCTTTCTTCGGAACACTTGCTCGGCTTGGACTGCAGGTCATTACTTTCTATCCTGGAGCGCCTGTGGTATTCAGCGAGCTATGGGCCAATGTCGGAGGAAGTCTAGTTATGGGTTTCTTGAGTGAGGACAGGATGCTTTTCAAGGAAGAATGGGGCACACCTGAGTACGACCAGCAACTGCAAATGGCAAAGGAACAAGCTCAGGATGAAGAAAGTGGTTCAAGTACTGATCAGGCCATCGACTTGGCGGCAGCTAAGAAGGCACATGCAGCTACGAAAAAAACGATCCCCTTGTACATCGGGCTTGCAACCGGTTTCTGTGGATGCTTCACATCTTTCTCATCCTTCATCCGCGACGCCTACTTTGCTATGTCGAATGAATTGCCGACTCCACTGAACCATCCTGCCGACTATGGTGTTGGAGAATCAACTACCTCGACTGTTTCACGAAATGGGGGCTATTCTTTTATGGCTCTGCTGGCTGTCATCATCATCACCGTTTCGCTCTCCATCTCCGCTCTTCATATAGGAGCACATCTTGCCATCCTTTCGGAACCCTGGACACCAACTATGCCATTCTCGTTCTGCCGCAAGTTCCTGGACCGCTTGGCTGTTGTATTAGCATGGGGTTGTTGGCTAGGAGCTATCTTCCTCGCCATTTGGCCTCCAGACCGACATGACAACCCACCCGAGATCTGGCGTGGTCGAGCGGTATTCGCCTTAGTATTCGCTCCACTCGGATGCCTGGGACGCTTCTACGCCTCGATCTACCTCAACGGCAAGATCTCATCATTCCCACTTGGGACCTTTGTTGTAAATATATTCGGTACGGCTATCTTAGGCATGAGCTACGACTTGCAGCATGTTCCTCTCGGGGGAGCCATTGGATGTCAAGTACTGCAGGGCATCGAGGATGGGTTTTGTGGGTGCTTGACTACAATCAGCACCTGGGTCAGTGAGCTAAACTCGCTGAGGAGGAGGAATGCTTATCGATATGGTGCGGCCAGTGTCGTTGTTGCGTTCTGCTTTTTGCTTGTGATTATGGGGAGTTTGCAGTGGACAAAGGGCTTCTCCGCCTTGCAGTGCACACATTGAAATATTCGATCATGATATATAGTGTAATCTCAATTTTGGATTTACATCTGTTAGTCTGCATACTTTCGATTTCAAAAGATCTGTTGTGGTTGCCTTGGATCCTCCGGGTCTCAAGCTACCACCTCCTTTCATAGGAATATGTTAAAGCAAACGCCAGTGCTCGTCTCTCTCGCTACGATGTAAAGCCGAAGTTTACAGACTATTTTCTCAAAAGAGAAAAAAGTTTGAAGAGCTTGTGCAAGAAAAGGCAAAAGCTTTTGGAGACGCGGGTGATCGAAACCCGGGCCTCTCGCATTCTACAACTCAATGCAAAGCGAGCGTTCTACCACTGAACTACATCCCCATATTTTTTGTTGTTTTTGTTGAAGAAAAAGGTCATATTTAAATATATATGACATATTCGCAATTGCCCCACCAAGAAAATCTGTTCCGGCTAAGTCCGTCTAGCGAGACTGGAATCACGAGATATCACAATTGGACCTGATGGAAGAGCGATTCATCATTTTTCAAGTTTGATGGGGTGAGTGAGAAAGTTTCTCTATGTTTTCTACGCTATCCTATATAGAAAAATCACGATGCTTCTGCACGACTCCGAAATAAGACGCTTTTGTTACCCCACCATCCCCTCCATTGCCGGAACCCAAGCCCATCCTTCCACCAAGTGGTGAATTCTCCGTCCTCCGAGGTCGCTATCGAAAATATCAAAAGAAAAGAAGTAAACGCCAATCTATCCCAAAGAAAGTGTGTCCCACACCCATGTCCATGTTTTCCCGTCCCGAGTCGTCAACTACCTCGAAGGCAAGGCTTCAAATCCTATTGCTGCCATGCGAGGCAGAAGCCAAATGAGCTGAAAAGAACTTATCGATCTGCTCCTTGGGCAAGAGACCCTGCCCAATATTTTCATTTTCATATCGGCAAGAGATTGATCTACTTGCGGATAGTGTTCTTGCATAGAGCACTCTTGCAAAGTTTGTACTTGCAGTGAGGGTATCTGCAGAGCGCGCTGCCTGGTTCGCTCTTGCCAGGTGTGTTCTTAGTGCTCTTTGGTGACGTTCTCTTGCTGATGAACATAATAGGAACCGGGGCATTGCTCAGGCGTGTGAACCTAGCTTTATTGATCTCCTTCTGTGCTGCATCCTTCCGATCCTGCCCATCCTTGGTAGCCTTTCGCTCCCCACCACGAATCTCGGCATGCTTCTCGTCGACAAGCTTGATGAAAGCGACATCAGCAAGCTGAGGAATCCGACTTTCATGGACTTGGAATTTGAGCTTCCAAAAAGTGAAGGCATCCAGAGCATAGAATGGGAGGATGTATAGGATCAGCAGATGGCGGTTACTGCAGAATCCCTCGGGCAGAGCCAAGACGACCTCCATACGCTTGAGGCCTTTGAAAGAACGAAGCTCCTCGACGACTCTCATAAGGAAAGCACGGGCTGGCGAGACCTTATACTCCGCCTTGGTCATGATCTTCCAACCAGTTGTAGGGATTGCCGCCCCAATCGTCAACTTCTGGATTCGAGGCAGGAGAGGAGCAAGGCGGGAGAGTTCGTCGAGGGCGGTCAGGTCAGAAGCAGTTAAGTGGAGGTCGCGCTCATCGATTGCAATCTCGAGGTAGCTGTTGCTCATGTATACGGCTCTAGCAGTGTTGTTCATGCCAGTGAGGAGGTCCTCGACCATAACATAGGGTGTATCGAACTTCGGGTCGATACTTAGGAAAGTAGTACCGTCTCGATAGACTTGGGTGTACTCGCAAATTTCGTTGCCGACGATGCCATCGATTGTGGATAATGACAGAAACAGATGCGAAGCGCAAGTGCCCACAGCTTCCTAGCCGAAAAATCTCTAAGATGATGGAGGCAAGGAGAATGTTTCGCAGAGTCAATGTTCCAGGGTACCAACAAGGACGGTGTAGTCCAGTAGTCCAGATGCTCCTATTTTTAATGGACGAGGGTGTCGAGTGGAAGGTTTGATGGATGGTATCCTCGACCTGGGGTTGTTTCGAAGATGGGCTTTAATACATCAAGCCGGTCCGCTAGTACGGAGTTACGGAGTTAGTCCTAATTTTGACTTGGGATTCAACTGTCAAGTGAATCGGTTTCTATATATGGGTGTTTACATTATAGAATAAAAGTTCTTGCCAACACATCACGCACGTGCGGAAGTATTAGGGCTTTGTTTTGATTTGTTTTATGTTGTTTTCGCAATTCAGACCTTGAATTTCGGAGAGCATTTCATTAAGGTCACAATCGAGGTCACAATGTCAAGCAATCAATTTAGAGGCACTAGAATGATGAAAAGAAGTTTCGTCATTTTTCTGTCGACTTGACCACCTCTGATCTCCCCTTTTCTGATACCCGGCCGCATCCAGCAGCCATGTGCCATATGCCGCAATCACCAACTTCCATGTCCCATGCTTCTCCTTCACCAAGCGGTGATCCAGTCATCCTTCAAAGCCTCGCAGTGCCAGAAAATCTCCAAAGCAAGAATCAAAAAAGGAAAGGAAGCAAAGTAATATCATAGAAGTCCAGGCTGAAACGGTATTTCGCTTTTGTTCGCCCAAATTTGCTAGTTATCAAACAGGTATTACCAAGCAGATCAATCAATACCACAGGAAATGCAAATCGATAGACGTCTACTTATAAGAAGTCTTAATAGCGCTCTTAGCAGCCTCCTTGCGCTTGAAGTTCTTGCGAGTGATGGTTTGGGGGACCGGATCGATGCTTGGACGCTTGAACGTCGCGCTTCTAATGTCATTCTGCAGCTTCGCATGCTCAGCATCCATTCGGTTGAGGAAGGCTCTGTCAACTGGTTAGGGGCAAACCTTGCCGTGCGCAACGAATTTGACCTTCCATGTAGTCATAGTCTCGAGTTCATAGAAGGGTAAACCGTAGCCTGTCAGGGTGGCAAGCTCGCTCATCTCCATTCCCTCGGGCATGGCCAAAACCACCTCCATGTACTTTAGTGACGCGAACGAACGGAGTTCTTGAACGACTCGGAGGAGGAAGGCTCGGGTGGATTTTTGATGGTGCTTCTTGCTCTTAGTCAGGGATTGGCTAGCTGCAATTTCGATTCTGATAGACAGATTCTGGATCTTGTTGAGAACAGAGGCCAATCGATCTAATTGGTTCAGAACAGTGGGTTGCGAGCCGTTGGCGTTAAAGTTGCGCATATCAACAATGATCTCGACGAGTCTGGTGCTCAGATAGTCGCTACTCTCAGTGGGGCTCATACTGTTGACCAGATCGGAGACGATATCGTACTTTGGGGCATCGAAAATATTCAAGCAGAACAGGAACCTGATTCCATTCTTGAAGACCTTGGAGACTTCGACCAACTCGTTTCGCTGGATGCCGTTGATTGCGACTGTGAGTTCGGCATGGAAGTACTTCTTTGTGCGGACGAGCTCATACATAGCCACCATAGAGTTGCCAACGAAGGGGCGTGGATATGACATGTCGGAAGATTGTGTGAAGTTCTTCTGGGATTGGAATTGTTTTGGGGGCGTTTTGAGATGGGGTTGGAATGCGGGATGCGTTTTGAGGTTGGGCGGCGAATGATCGAAAGGCGCAAGCGAGCGCAAACTTGTGACAATGCGTGCGAGGTTAACAGATGCTGAGTAACCAAGAGCCAATACCCTTTTACGCAAGGTAACAAGTGTTCGAAGAGTAAAGGCGCGGTGGTAATGTTGGTGGTTGGGTGTGGTCGTCGTCGGTGCTGTGGGTAAAAAGTTGTAATGAAAGTCGTGGAATCACATACGGTTACAGGTCTCCCCTGTAAAGCTTTAAGTACCGAACCGCTTATTCTATTTGATAAATTTAAGGTTATTTCTAAGCTTAACTGGTTGAATGTTCCTATACATTTATACTAGGTAGCTAGCTAAAGTTCACGTGATTCCTAGATGTAGGGAGCAAAAAAGAGCTTGAGTTCGGTCTAGTCCATGCCAATGCCTTACCGGAGTTCTCACTTCAGTATTCTAAGCGACATCAGTCAAGAAGGGCCGTTGTTGTTTTGAATTGTCCTTTTAGTCTCGAAGAACAACAGCTGCTGAAGGTCATGTGCGCATGACTTGAACTGGATTCTGCAGATGGGTATCTGGTGCCGTTACAAAAGTTTACATCTTTACGTGTGGTCATTTGCGAGGTGAAAAGGGCTTGCAAAAACTGTATTCCAGTCCTACGGACGTTACCTCAAAAAGTCGTAGAATGCTCCCAGTTCTCAGTGCTTGCGTGCATTCCGTACTCCCATTTCTCCGCCCAAGTCTTATCCAGACTCTTCCGTCCACATCTCCTTTCCTCAATCGAATCCAAAGCACATCCCAGAAAGCGCCAAGGAAATTAACTGGGAAAACAAAAGAGCATACTTTGGGCACCCTCCTGGTTGACCTCACTTCTTGGTAGCGCTCTTCCCTATCATGCCATTCGATGCACGGAAGATAGTCCAGATAGTGTCAGCACGGGATTTGAGTTGAGGCTCAAATGTACCGTAACGGATGTGGGTCGTCTTCTCGATTTTGTCATCTTCCTCCTGGTAAGCAAGCTTAACTCTTATCGTGATGAAAAAAAGGCTCCCTTGAAAGGTTACTCAAACGTATACCACTCCGGGTGGTATTCTCGCAGTGCTAAAGGAGGATCAGCAAATGTTAAATAATTTGTCGCAAAAACAAAGAAGAGGCAAGCGATCTCTTTTGTAGGCTTTGCAATATCGAGGGGTTGATGTCGATGTTGCGCGCCGAAGGTGAATTGTAAGAGACGCCAATGTTGTTCGAAAAAGGAACACTCGTTTTTGTGCTGCATGTACCCTTCAAGTTATGCGCAATGCCTGTGTATTTTATATGCGTGTGTACTGATGCGTAGATGAGTATGGATCGAAGGGGGTCGATGTGCTTGGGCCTGCGCGGCTTTTGGCGCGCAGCACTAGGAGGGCGGGATTATCGTTGAATTCGAATTTCCAGCGGTCTAAATTGCAAAGCCTACTTCAAAGGTTGATCTGGAACCTGGAGGACTCAAGAAATGAGATGGGTGGCCTTACTCGTTGTTGTTGTGGAGGAAGAAAGAAATTTCGAAGAGCTTCGCGACTCTTGACATCACCAGAATCGCAGCCTCGCCAAAAAAAAAATTTGGTTCACGTGAACGAAGCCTCAAAACTCGAATTATGGCGTCCCGACTCTTAGTCGAGGCTACGGGGTCTTTCTAAGAAATTAAGGGAAGTATCTCTTGGGAGTTACACAGCCACCCGCAACGTGCAATGCCTTCTATATACATCCCTTTATTCTCCGCGGCAGCGTTTAAAATCCAAAGAGGCTGATCGCCTTGGTACATGAGAGAATACGAATTCAATCATTAT